GGGTAAGGAGGGGATGGGATGGGGAGGCGGCGTGGTGGGCGCAGGACGGGTGTTCATGAGGGAGGGAGGAAGGAGGACGGGAGCGCGGGGGCGGCGTGGGGCCGCGGTGCCTGGCTGGTGCGGCTGCACGACCGCCGAGCCGGGCTCCGAGGGCGGAGGGCGCGACGCTCGCGCCGGACCCCCCCTATTGCAGTGGACGGGCGGCAGCCCTGCGCCGCCCGGCCGCGGCCCGCCCATCGCCCTGTACCTCAGCTGAAAAATCGTATGCTGCAAAGTCAATCCCATGCGCCTGGATGGCTCCAGGAGCGGGCGACCGCGGGACAATGTAACATCCTAATCCTCATTCCCAGCCAACGTGCGCGCAGGGGTCTGGGGTCCCCGGAGCCTCACCGAGGTGACGGCCATCATGATGCCCTCCAGGGGGGCCGAGCGCGGCGCGCGGTACGGCGCCAGCACGCGGCTGCGCCAGCTGGCGGTGTTGATCCCCACCAGGTGCCACTCCTGCGGGCGCCAACGCGACGCGCGCGGTCAGCGGGCTTTGCCCCAAGCCGCCGCGCCGGCCAAGCATCCGTCCATGCCGCCCGCAGCGCGACGCATGGCGCTGCAGCGCGTTGGGCGCCCCCAAACATTGCGGCAACGCAGCGGCCGCCCCACCTGCGTCGCGACCACCAGCAAGGAGCCGTCCTGGCTGAAGACCATCCCGACTGCTGGCGTGCGCACGTCCACGCGGCCCATGCGGCACCCAGTCAGCAGGTCGTAGCCGCCGACGCAGGTCGCCACGCCCTGCGGTGTTGGCGGGCGCGGCGAGAGCGCAGGGGAACATCGCCCCGCCACCGCGCGTGGCCCCTGCAGTGCCTGCCACCACGGTTGGCCTGTCCATGCTGCCAGTCATGGATTCTGCTGCTGTTTGCAGCTGCCGCTCCTGGCTCCACCCTTGCCCCATGACGCATGTTAAGGGTGGACGGGTGGCACCAGACAACCGGCAGGGGCAAAAGGCCAGGCATGGGCTACAGGATCGGCAGGCAGCCGGGCGCTCGTCACCCACCACTGCAAGAAGCGGCCGCTGTGGGTGAAACGCGAGGCAGCGCACGTGCGTGCCGCGCGGCAGGCTGGAGATGTCGGCCTGCGCGCGTTTGCAAGGCACCGGCGCAGCAGTGGGGATGCTTGCTCATCCCCCCCCCCAATTGCTTTCTGAACCCACCATGCCACGTGGAGACGGACGAGAGGCGGCCGGAAGCTCATTGATATCAAGTCACAATTTTCATCAGCATCCATCACGCGCCTGGCTAGGGGGCTCACCGTCAGCACGGTTGTGCAGTCCACACGCCCGCCAGTCTCCAGGCGCAGCGCCTCCGCTGACGCGAGCTTCACCGCGTCTGTGGCCGCCATGGCGCCCGCAGGTGGTGGTCTGGATCTGAATAAGCCTAGCCCACGTGTTCACTCAGATCCGCGACGTCCTTCTGCGGTGTGCATCCAACATCCCTTGTCCTCTGAGCAAGATCACAACAGAACACCTAGGGTCCTCATCGTAAGTACGCCTATTCTTTATTCTCGTATCTGTAACGTCAACACCAGCAGCTGCACATTCATCAAATCGTCACAGTATTGAGAACCAGATCGACCAAGTGCCTCACCTCCGACAGGGGAAAAATCACCCGCCTCATCCGTCTCTGTAGACGAACAGCAGAATGTCAGGAGCCCCAGTGGCGTCGCTGCTGTGGCGCGCGGGCCGCTGGGTGGCAAGTGGCAACTCTGCAGCACTAGGTGCGCAAGCAGGCGAGTGCGTGTGCACTGCCTCTTTGTGGGCCTGGTCGCTTTGCGATGTGACCCCACATGCTGCATGCTTAGCCTACATCACAACGGTTTTACTTGCAGGAACATGGGCGGGGGCGGCAAGCAGCTGCAGCTTCCTGAGCTGCAATCGGCGGCACAGCAGACGCAGCGCTGCGATGCCCGCAGTGCTGGTGCGTCGGGTGCCGGGCCGGTTTGCGTTGTGAAGTGATGAACGTCCTTACCCAGCTGCAGCTGGATTGTTATGGTTTAGAGGCAGGGGTGGCAGTGTGCAATGCTTGTTCAAACCGCTTGTCAACCCAGGGGGACCGCACTGGTTGCGCAGCACCCATGCCCCCTCATCTTGCCCACACCTCCCACCAGCAGGCAAGTATGCCATGGGGCCCAGGCGCCATCCAAACGGCTTGCTTCGTCAGCACCACCTGCACGTCGCAGCATCGGGAGCAGGGGCAGCAGCAGTGGCAGCAGCTTCCGCACCACCACAATCAGTGGCGGCCACTGACCACCCAGGCCACGCCGGCCGGCGCTGCGCAACCGCCGCCCCCGGGGCCGGCGCCGCCAGCTTCGGCGTCAAAGAAGCAGCCGCAGCCTCAGAGCGCCACGGGCGTGTGCAACCGCAAGGCGCTGCGCATGGGATGGAAAAAGCTCGACTTCGTGATGCCCCTCGCGCGCCGACGCAACGTCGACGACGCGCTCGCGCAGCTGGCGGCGTGCCCCAAGAAGGCGGCCATCGAGGTGCACAACGCAGTCGCCAACGCGCGCAACAATGCGATCGTGCAGGGCGCCGACCCCAAACGCCTGATCGTGGAGCGCATATGGACGGGACGCGCGAAGCCGTTCAAGAAGTTGTGGTTCGCCGGGCGCGGATACAGCAGCGTCCGCCAGCGGCGGCGCACCCACCTGACAGTGATCGTGCAGGAGGCGCCGCGGCCGGAGGGGCGAAAGTACGAACCCGCCAAGCTGGTGAGGCCGGCTATGGTGCGGCCGCGGCGTGAGCGGCGGTACCCCCGTCTGGGGCAGCTGCCCGTGCTGGGCGCTGTCGCGGGCGCTTGAGGAGGCCGCCATTTGTGTGCATGACTCACCTGAAAGAAGCGCACCTCGTCAATGCTGTATTGTAACAATGACGCACATGTTGTTCTTGCGAGTGTGAGGTGGAGGTGCGCAGGCGAGGCAAAAATGTGCACCCGCTCCCATCGACTCATGGTCTTGCTGTGGGTCAGCAGGCACGCAGGCACGGCTGCAAGGTCGACATGGCGTATCAGTGCAGGGAAAGCACGGGTTCAAGGGCTTTGTGTCAAAACCAGCACAAAAATAACTTTTCATAGTCTCATGACCCTTGGGATGGCTCATTGCCATTGAAAAACCTGCTGGCACAGCTTTGACCCCTCTACTTCCGGGGCACCAGCCACAGTCTTGTTGCTCGCGCATGTACACCGCGGTCCTTTCGTCGGGAAGCACCTCTTTGAAGCCGGTATTGAGCCCGGCAGCCCTCCAGCTCAGTGGCTGAGCAGCAGCCATGACGAAGAAGAGGCGCAACGGAGGGCGCAACAAGCACGGCCGTGGCCATGTAAGCATGCACTTATAGTAATCGTTTCTCCAGGGTGGTCGTTGCGGACCCAGAGCGACCTGGAGCGCGGAGCAGCCGATCACCCGCCCTGGGTTTGCGGCCGGCTAGGCAGCGTGCTGAACCGTGCAAAACTTGCAACGGCATACAGGTGAAGCGCGTGCGCTGCGAGGCTTCAGGCGTGATGGTGCCTAAGGACAAGGCCATCAAGCGCTTCGTGGTGCGGAACATCGTGGACGCGAGCGCCATTCGCGACATCCAGGAGGCCTCCGTCTTCGATGGTGCGCTTGGCTATGCGAGGGCACGCGATGGCTTGGGCCGCCGCCGGCTGCAGTGGCGACAGCTCGAGCTGCTAGTGCTGCTGCACAGCGATGCGCTGTTTGGTGGCACCAGCAGGGGCAAGCAGCAGCGCATGAGTGGACAGTTGCAACAAGCAGCGCAGCGTGGTTTCACCTGCAGGGCAACAGCGCGGCTCGAGTAGCATCGCCAGGGACAGCAGCAGCACAGCATCAGCATTTGTGTTTTCCCTTGATTTTTGCAACATGGCCTGATGCATTTTTATGCGTACGTATTCAGTCAGCGGCGAAGTAGCCTGCCTTGCTACACACAAGCAGCGCGCCATAGGAGCTCAGCTCGCCTGCCGAGGACAACCTGGACGTCCACGTGCGGCGCGACAATGTCAGACCACGATTTCCGTCACAAAATGCAGCAGCAGCAGCTAAAAGCAGCAGCAGCAGCAGCTGATAGCAGCAGCAGCTAAAAGCAGCAGCAGCAGCTGATAGCAGCCGCAGCAGATAGCAGCCGCAGCAGCAGCACTGATACAGCAGCAGCAGCACTGATAGCAGCAGCAGCAGCACTGATAGCAGCAGCAGCACTGATAGCAGCACCAGCTGGCATCAGCAGCAGCTGACAGCAGCAGCAGCTGCAGCAGCAGCTGAAAGCAGCAGCACCACCAGCCTGGCGGCAGCAGCACCAGCAGAAATAATACCCGCAGCAGCCTTTTTTGCGCGGCCCGCTGTCATGATTCAAATCCCCTTTGTTGCACCACTTGACGCCCTGCCTCTTTCCACCGCAGGCTACGTCCTGCCCAAGATCTACCGCAAGGTCTACTACTGCGTCGGCGCCGCCATCCACTCCAAGGTGGTGCGCGTGCGCAGCCGGAAGGACCGCCGCAACCGCGAGCCCCCGAAGAGGTGCGAAGGCCCGGCCATGCGCATTAGCAAAATGGGGACGACGGGTTTTGCGCCCCCCCACCACTGGCTTGCCGTCAGCGCGGTGGTGTTATGTCGATGCGCATCGCTGACGCTTTTACAAGAGCATCTGTGGCCTCATCCTCCCCTTGTTCATCCGTGATCAACTCCTTGCACCACAGGTTCAGGGGCCCTCGCGAGGGCGAGAAGCCCGGCGCCCCCAAGGCGTAAAAGCGCCTTGCCATGGGGTCTAGATTTAGGCGCTGTAAAACGCGAACCTTGTGCCTGGTCGTTTCTCGTTTGGGTGTCTACCGGCAGGGCGCTGCAGCGGCCGTGGCGTCGAGCGACAGAAAGGTCAGTTGACCAGGAACCATGCTCCCAGGATATGCCGTCTTGCTTGGAAGCGGCACGCTTACAAACCAGTAGTGCGACTCAATCACTTGACACAATCAAGGGCAGACCCCTGGTTATGGCGCGCCTGAAATGCGAGCGGGCAGAAGTTTTTTCCCTGACGAAGAGGTCTGGCCAGGCATCCAGGTCCCAACGTGATTCTCATAACCTACCTCCTGAGCCCAGCGTGCCAGCACTTTACGCTTTGGCGCATTGTGGTAACTTGGAATTGTGGCGCTCGCGATGAGCTGTATGGGATGTCGCTTGTGCCAACCCTTGGTGACAAGGGCAAGCGGCAAGGGGGTGCAACACCATTGGCAGATGCTAGCTGGTACAGTGGTGCTGCTGCGTATGCATGCACGGTGCAAACAATTATATCGGACTTCAACCAACCTCGGCACCTCGTGAAATTGAGTCCGCATGTGCTAGTGAAGCATATACGGTTCTCGTACCTGTTGTGGTGCTTCCAGTGAGAGCGTGGCACCGCAGTGTGCGCCTGCAGGTCGAGCAGACCGTGGCAGTGAATGGTACACCGATGCTCTGGACCCACAACCACGGGAGACGATTTCAAGCATACCGCCTCAGTCCAAGGGCCCGCGGGCCTCTAGGGTTATAGGAACGCGAATAGGCGCAGTGACCAACAAAGCGATTCTGGATCCTGCTGATGCCAGAGTGCAAAAGAGCCCATCAAGACTGATTATTTGGTTGCGTCGTCCTGTGACTTGGATAAAGCAGCAGGGCCGCCCGAGTCCCCCGCGCCGCACGACCGGCCTGCGTCAGGAGCACGAGCCTCGGCTTATGCCTTGATATGCTGCACCAACATGCGGCTGGGAGCTGCAATCGTTGGCAAATAACACCTAGCAGTGTGTACAGCAAGCGCGCGCGGCCAATGGCCCTCCGGAGCGCGCGCGACGCGACGACGGCGACAGTAGCAGCACCACACGCAGGCAGCGGCGGCGCCGCCGACAGCATCAGCCCTGCCGCGCCCGCCTCGGCGCCCCGGCGGCGCGTGGAGGAGGACTGGACCCCCAGCACCCTTTCCGAGGTCGTCACAGTGTTTGCGAAGCACCCGTCCTTCCAGTTCCCCGCGGCGGTGCTGGCCGCCCTGCTTGCCCTGCGCCTGCAGCAGCCGGCCGGCCTGGCCGACGCGGCGGTGGTCGCGTTCCTGGCGGGGTTCTGGCTGCTGCAGGAGTGGGTCGTCCACAAGCACTTGCTGCACTCGGACTGGAACTGGGTCGGTGAGCGACGCGCGGTCACCCTTCCCTCGCGGCGCCGCCCGGCGGCTCACACCGCGGACGCCGGCCGCGCGTCTTCGCAACTGCGCCCCTCCACGCAGGCCCTTCTGTTCCCCTCCCCCCCTTACACTCCTCAAACC